ACTACACTTATTCGCATCGTCCTCCAAGCCCCGCAAATGACCAAAGAACACAACGCAAAACCCTTGAGGAGCATCATCCACCATAAAATGCAATATTCACGATAAAAGCAATCTACAGGGTGTCCCAGGATTAAGTACGAATATTGAAAAAGTCGATTCTTTGGGTCAAATAAAGACGTTTTATTTTTTTTTTTCCATAAACGCTTTCCCTGGGGGCACGACCCCCCAAAGTTGGAGAAAAAAAAATCGGATTTTTAACACTGTGACAATATTCATCAACCAATAATAATGAAAATTGGTAACTGGGAGTGATTTTTAGCGTTCTTTTCATTTTCGGCCTCCAAAAAAAGGAAAACTCACTTTGAGGGGGGTTTAGGGGGGTATCAAACCTAAAAGTGGCCAAAGTTAATATAACTCAAGACAAAAATTGATTTTTGACAGCACTCCTAGATTTAGCGTTGAAAAATATTGGGGAAATATATCTTGCGTTTTTTCGCTTTGACTCGTTGTTTTCGAGATAATAGGGACTAACAAGGGATAATAGGGGGTCGTAGGGGGATAAAAAGGGCCCCCAAGGAAAGGGTTTTTGGAAAAAAAGTTATATCATAAGAACATCCTTTTCTGACCCAAAGAATCGACTCCTTCAATATTCGTATACTTAATCCTGGGACACCCTGTATTTTGACTCTCTCGTCTGGGACCTTGGCTGGTCTGGTAATGGTCACTCGAAGATGGGTTTGAAGGGGGGCCGGGAGGGGCATGGATGGACTTCCTGGGCGGGGATGGCGGGAATTCCTGGAGCAGAATCGAAAGTGAGTCCCGAGAGTAAAAGTGGCGAGCGCGGCACCGAATCCGAAACCGAAAGTGAGTGGCAATGGCCGGTCGCGTCGCTTCGTCGCGCCGTTCCGACGCTGGGACGTGACCCGGCCGACGCGACGCGACGCGCGGCGCGCCGCACGCCATGAATGGGACGACACTCGTTCACACCTCAATTCTTGGAAGGGACCAGATTACACCGGACAGAAATGAAAAAAGTATAACATAAAACGGAAAATAGTGGTAATTTAAGAACCCTTTACCTGACCCAGCCGAGCAGGGTTGCCGCTATCCTCCGCAAAAACCGCGAATGTTCCAGTGGAATACAGGGTGTCCCAGGATTAAGTACAAATATTGAAGGAGTCGATTCTTTGGGTCATAAGAAGACGTTTCTTTTTGGTCTAACTTCTGTATGTACTCTTCACCATGTACCTACGGATGAACGAGTAATTCCAAAGCATTACGTTCGGTTACTTTAAACCTCTTTAAAGGGATTGAGTATATTACAAATACTGTTAATTGAATGTTTATTTTGCGTTTATGGAGAAAGTAAACAACGAATATCTCATTTACTGAGTCTGCGGAGAGATTCCAAGAGATTCATTTCAGAGAGTCCATAAATGTTCAGATGAATAGATAACATCGAATCAGAAGGTATAATCAAACCACGACAAGAATCAGCTCTAGACTCATGAATATTATTCCGACCAATAATATCCTTAAAGTGAGTTCGATTGAGTTGGCTTCCAATAAAGGCCGCTGATTTTTTTCATTTTTCTCTGAAAAAATCTAATGGTAATTCTTGCCTTACTCAGACGTGCTTGATGAAGGTTGATTTTTGCACTCTGGAGGGAAGCAAAAAGTGACCCTTCCTTGACCCGTGACTTTTACTATCCAAGGAGACATTTAGACCTAATCAATAACTTATTCGCATCATTACATTTTGAAGGCAATATATATGCACAAATAACTATCAAATTTGTAATCTTTGAATAAATATTTGGTCGTTCTTATTCTGATTCTGGTATTTTTTTAAAGAAAATTTCTCATTTTTTATCGTGTGGAGTGGATTTCTGCGAATTGCCGCTCGTTGCTCGAAATTGGACGTATTTACGCTAAAAGAATTATGTTACACGCAAACCCTATGCACATAGTTTCTTTTAGCATAAATATGTCCAATTCAATTTTTATTGTCATCTTTTATTCCTTTTTTGCTATGTTGTATGGTTCCGTTTTCCGACTAATCCAATGTATTAAAAGCAAAGACATTGATTAAAAGCTGCGGTCAGATAGAGGGTTGCTAGTCTAATCAAGCCTCCAAACTCCAATCCATCTCTATACTGCCGTGCTAAGGAAGAACGCCGTGCGAACATTCGAGACTTGCCAAAATCCTTTCGATAAAATGTTTATTTTTTAGGAAAGTTATGTTTGTTTTTTCCTTTAAATTTTCAGAAACTTTAGGTAAAATTGCGAACTAAATTATCCAAAAAATTTGGAGGAAAATATTCATTAGTTTACTACGAAATTCGCGTTTTATCAAACAAAATATGGCAACGCCTGATGGCTCATGCGGCGTTTTTCCATAGCACGGCAGTATAACTGATGGGCTTTACCCTAAAGCTCTCATTGTAAATAGACTGCTGACGCATGCATTAATCAAATCGTTCGATGTAAAATCTTGGAATCTGAGATCTTGGCACAGTTTGGCAAATTATGCCTGCAATTACAAATCCGCTGCCGGTCGACAGAAAACTATTTCACTGCACCTATGCCTATGTGGCGACAATATTGTCGCCGCTTACTGAAGCCCGTGCGCAGGTCAATGAACTGCGATGCGATGTTGTCGTTGCTTATCTTCGGATAACTAAATTATTTCTAATTAAATATTTTAAAGCAAATGCCAGAGGCTAGAGCAGTAGTGGCGAGGCGTGAATGGTCCATTATCGATATTTCCCCATTTGAAGCTGTGGTAAAGAATCGATTAAAAAAGTGTTTGTTGCAAACACCCTATTCATTGATCCTTTCCCATAGGTTTAAATGGCAGATCATTCGATTTATCGCAAATCACGCCACGCCACTGGGCTGGGGTAACCGCTGGCAAACGTGGGTACTCTTACACAAACGACCGAAAAATAGCTTATGCGTGACTCGTTTTACGGGGGAACGCTCAAAATAATTTTTACGCAAATGAGCAATACCTCGATTTATAATTTAAATTTATGCAAATTTCGAAGAGTTCAATAATTTTTATCGATTTTTTGAAAATTTGTAATGTCCTGAAGATTGTATTAATTCACAAAGTTTATTAATCTATCAATGGCGGTTCTTGATAGCTGCCAACACTGTTTTTCCTCCATTTAAAGCGTGTAAATTAATCGATTCTCAGTAAAGCTGCTTGCCTCGCGTCAAATCGATATTTGTAGTAGCTGTAAATGGAGAGGAAACGGAATTGTCAAAATTGCAAAATCGTCATTGTCTCAAGAGATGCTCTTTACTCGTTATAGAATGGATTATGCGGTACCTAATGATTAGCTATGATTCATATGCTGATTGATTGATTGATCCGTTATTCCTCCGCGCACAAAGATTGTAAGGGGTAAAACATACCACATTTTAATTTAAGGGACCTATTCTTCTGAAATTTAATTGTTAACCACAGATGATGTGAATGAAACTTTTGAGAATCCTGACCAAGATTATACGATAAAACTTTTAATCATTATAGGATCAAATATTTTGTTACTCGTTACAGTTTTACTTTTTTCTCGATCAGAATTTATATGATGTAAATGACAGCACTGGACATAGTATCGATGTGCTGGAGAGAGAAAGCGAATGCCACGAGTGATTTGTGCGTGACTTGCGACGAAATTTAGGCGATTGCCCACCCTGCTCTGTTTGGTGGCTCAAGGAAACTCGAGAGGACCGATTCTGGGGGGTTGTTTTTGTAATGATTATTTTTTAACTTCTTTTTGACCTCCGGATCATCGGGGTCTTTAAACTCGATTCAGTGAGCCTCCTTCTTCTTGGAAGGATCGTCTGAGACGCAAAAAAAGTTGTTGTTTTCTTCCCCAAAAAGTATGACGCACAAGGGGCTATAATTAATTACAGTTCCTTTGTTAGTTTGTTCTTTTAATGGTGCGTCTCTTAATTTTAATGTATCCAAGCCTGGTTTGTTTTTAAAGTGTTGACGCAATTCCTGGAAAATCCATCTCATCTTTGATCCATTCCTTGATTCTCCTGTAGAATCACCTCTGTTCACATTATTCAATTGATCAGATCATAGGTACTAATCGATCAGAGCTCGGGCGCTAGTTTCAGGTTATCTTCCTTTCACTTTTTTCTCAGGCAACATTAAAGGAGACAAATTAACTGATCATCGTGAGAATTGTTAAAAGTTTTTCCATGAATTCAAAACTATTTATGTTTTCTCCGTGACAACATCTGATGGTAGTGTCAAATTCTGTCTGGGACAATAGCTATCATAGGGCTAAAAATTAAATAAAGTAATCTTTCGTAATAGAACTTATATTGTATTCGAGCAGATTAAAGTTTCAAGTTCCGAGGGGTTCAGGGAGGGGGATCGATTACGCCCTCTGTGCACTTCACACATTCCACATCTACGATATCACGGGCTCTTCGCAAGGAGTGACGGGGGAGGGGGTTACTTGGCAATGTTTTCAGACTTGAAAGTAGAGATTATAAATGCCATACGAGTTTGAGAAGTGAAAATTATTTTATCGAAAATCATCGAAGCAGAGATCATATAAAATATCGGAATCTGAGTAATTACAAGCCTATATTGACTGATTTTTAAATCAATTAACACAGCGAAAAATAACTTCTTTTTTCTCATAAAAACTGTTATGATTACCTATTGCAACAGTTACCTTATTCTCTTTTTTGAAGAACGAGAGTGACCATGCAATTGTTGAGACTGATATGATGCTTCTAATGACCTCTTGATCCGAGTGCATGTAATGGTAATGTATTAAAATAGCAGGATATGAAGCAGGTGTGGAACGGATGATGTGAATAAAATATTTTGATAATATTTTAACTTTGGTATTTTATTTTTTGATATGTAATAAATACAATTCAAAAAGAGTTTCTCAGAAACAATATGATTACATCATTTTTGAAAATTCAAAAATCTATAAAATAAAGGTATCAAAACATCAGTATTTATAGTATTTACACATCATATTTATATATTTATACGCGACATTTGTGTCGAAAATTTGTTTTTTTAAATTTTATGAAGCACTGAATACTTCGTTGGAAATAAGGGCGTGAATATTATTATATTATTTGAAATATTATTTACATTTCTTTGAACTCAAAGTTCAAACGCACATCGGTTTTCTAGTCGACGCTTCTGGAAAGACTGAGAGTTGGTGGGTGCCACAATATTAAGTCAGTTGCTTAAATAAATGAGATCCGGAAGAGTCAGCCATTTGAAATGTCTTTCTTGTTTGCTAAAGACAGAATAAGAGAAACAAATACGTTTAAACCATGTCATAAATAATATGGTCAATCATCAGAATGAACTAAATGTGATTACTTCCTCCATCTCATTGGTAGGTGTTGCGTGCACTGATGAAGATTATAATATTTTTACATCGCCAACAATCTTTATATGTCCTTTTGATGCTGGTACATATTTTTAAGGCGGGATGTATACAAATAAAAGAAAACAGGAACACAAGAGGCACAATTGCAAACAGAAGTCAAAGTATAATTAAGGGCACCAACAACAAACGTCTGATGTCGGAACAAAATATCTTCTCACCAACTTTGTTGATAATAAAAGGATAGGGCTCATCGAATATCAGTCCATATTTAGTCCATAGTTAAACATACAAATCATAGGTGGATCCAGGCACTTCGAACGGGAGGGGGAAGAAAGGGGGGTCTGGCAGGCTTCTGCCAGAAAATTTTCGAAATTTTAAACGCATCTAAACATGCAGTTTGAGTCAATTTCGTCATGAATAATTAAAATTTAAGCGACATTCTTTCTTCTCTCTCTATTCTTTCCTACTCTCTTTCTTCCCTATTTCTTCCGTCTCTAATTTCAGCAAACGCGGGGGTGGAGGGGGGGAGAGCACCACTCCCTCCGCTCTCCCCCTGGATCCGCCTATGCTACAAATATGACCCTCAATAGTGAAATGGGTCAGTTGCGCTGGTAACAGAATTGTGTTTGGATGCTTGATTCACATGGATTAGCTAAAGATAATAAGTTCTGTCCAAACATCAACTTTCTGCGTTCATTATGAACCGAGATATCGCTTTGAAAAGTCGGATTTTTGACGTTGAAGTAACCAGTGCAAATGTGTGTCACACTGACTGATGAAAGCAAGGTGGAAGAAACCAAGGGTGTCACCACCGCGGTGGATGACGTCAAAAGCCCGACTTTACAAAGAGCAATATCTCAGTTAATATTGAACGTAAAAAGCAGCTGAACCTACGGATCTCATTATTTTTAGCTAATTACAAGAATCAAGAATGTAAACACGATTTTGTGACCAGCGCAACTGACCCATTGTAACATTGCAAGGATTGCGTTGAACTCACCGAAATGACAAATCAGGAAGAAATCCGGGTGATGTGTCTGCTGGCCGTAGAGAGCTCGGGGTGGAGGTCCAGGGTGCAGCATTTGATGGAGCCTCCTCCGAGGAGAAGCTCGCTCAAATCGACGGAGATGGGGTTGTAGCCATGCTCCCTCAACTGCCGCCCGAAGGTCTTGGCCCGCGAAGGGATGACCACGTTGTAGCCGTCGCTGTAGACGTTCATGGCGAAAACGGCCGCGTCTTCCTCCGTGGCCAGGATGGCGTTCGGGAACCGGTCCCGGAGGATGGCCAGCGACTCCTCGTCGAAGGCCGACTCCAGGTAGGCGATGCACGGCGAAGACGCGTCGACAGGTTCGCGGTCCAGGACCGTCAGCGCTGTGTCCAGGTGGTAGTACCGGGGGTTGACTAGCTTTAGTGTTACCACTTCGCGATCGAAAACACGGGCCACCTGAAAATCATATTCATCTTGATTTATTACCTCCTCTTCACAGTGAAAAATAAAACAAATCATTAGAGTACCGCGTAACACGTAACGCCTGTACTGCCTCGCTAAGGAAGAACGCCGTATGAACATTCGAGATTTGCCAAATTTCCTCCGATAAAATGATAATTTTTTAGGAGGGCTGTGAATATTATCCCCTGAAATTTTCAGGAGCTTTAGGTGAAACTTCGTAAAAAATTATCTCAAGAATCGAAAGAAAAATATCTACAAATTTTCCTGAAAATTAGTGATTTGTCTAAGGAAATTTGACAACGCTTGAAGGCTCATACGGCGTTTTTCTTTAGCACGGGAGTGTAGCGCGAAGCGCTTCGGTTGGCAGGACCGCGAAAGGGTTAGGAGGCGTGCCCCCTTATGTGGTTGATAATATGGGAAGTAGAACTGTAGGTAACATAAACTTTCAGTTGCTCAGCCTTCACTGAAGGTATGAATTTAGGTACTGCGGAACATATTTCTCGGCAAAATTTCACGAGGGACCCGAATCACACGACTAATATTTACAGTTAACATTGGTTAAAAGGCAAATACAAATGGCGAAGTTTCTGTAATCTAACTTCCACAAAACGAAATATATAAAACATTGAAAATTTTCATGAAATATTTCATGCTGAGCTGTGATATGAAACATTTTTTCAGGAGCTGAGAATACTAGGAAACACCAGTAATGAAACATTATAATTTCTTGCACTTAATGTATTTTTCAATACCTTTCATAGAGAATGGGCATCAATACGGGACCTTTTGGGCTTACCCTGAATTTCCTCAGTATGCTTTTTTGCTCATTGGAGGTGTATATTTTACGGAATGCATCATGATTTGGTCTTTTTCGGGTCTAATTCTGGTCTAGAAACATGGGTCTAAAGGCTGATTTTGGCAAAAAATTTAGGTTTTCGACTACAAATCCAAAAAAACTCGCATTTCTCGCCACATTTTTCGTCCTTAGACCTATGTTTTTGGACCAGCATTAGACCTGAAAAGAGCTCGAAAATGATAAAATCACTATGCATTCCGTAAAATATAGACCTTCATTGCGCAAAAAATTATAGAATCGAGAGAACTTAGGATAAGCCCAAAAACGGCCCTCATCGGTACCCCTCCTTTCATGAAATTTCACGAATCTACTTTTCATAAATACTTGCAAGCCAGAGGCACGGTAGAACATTTGCCTGTCGTGTACGAGAAAATGTATGAACAAAAATGCACAAAAATACCTATAATAATTCATTAAAAAAACACAAGATAACAGGTGACCATGGTTAAAAAACAACAAATCACAAAGCCTGGAACGTTCCAGGGTGGTTTCAACCCCCTCTTCGACCAGGAAACGAAAGTATATAAAAAAATACAAAAATCAAAATTCAGAACCTCACTTTTTGTTATCGAGAAATGAGGGTGTAGTATTTTGATCTTTATAATTGTTTACATATTTTTGTTTTCTGGTCGCGGAGGGGGTTCAAACGACCCATAAACGTCGCAGGCTGTGAGTTTTCTGCCATGCAACGCTAAAATGCCGTAAACGCCATTTTACATTTTTGGGAAACAACGTATCATAACAAAAAAACTTGCGTTTCTTGGGACAATGTTTTTACAGAATTCCTCCGCAAATTGTATCAAGAACGTAACCTGAAAATTTGAGGTGCTTGGGTGAGACAGTTTGTATTTTATAAAGTGTTAAGTTCCAAAAAACGAGATAAAATTTTGACGGATTTACGGCGTTCTTGCTTAGCACGGCTCTTGTGATTTATTTTGTAGAAAAATGGATATTCACCTCTTGGTGGGAGCGAGGGTTGGTGCGGAAACCGGTTCCGGCGAGGATGACGTCACCGACGGGGAGGAAATCGCCCTGGCCCTCGTTGGTCTCGCGCGGCTCGGCGACCTTGAGACCGTGCTTGCGGAACCAGGCCATGTAAGCGGGGCCCTCGGCGTGGCGCTCCGGGTGGAGGAACTTGGCGCCGTAGGCGACGTTGCCCAGGACGAGGCCGCCGTTGGCCGCGTAGACCATGTCCGGGAGACCGGGCAGAGGGTCGACCAGGTGGACGTCGAAGCCCAGCTCCTGGTAGACGTCGTAGAGACGCTGCCACTGCTTCAGCGCCTTCGTCTGGTCCACGCCGGCTTCCGGGTCCATCCACGGGTTGATCTTGTAGGCCACCGTGAAGAACGTCGGCCGGCACATGAGGATGCTCCGCTTCGTCGCCTCGCGGACGGGCCGCGCAGGCTTCCCGGACACTCCTGTCTTCGTTGCGCACGAGTTTGCGATTGAGCAAGACATTTTCCCTGGATGATCTTCAAGGGCGGGAAACTGGTTCGGAGTTGGCGCTTTTGGCACTTTTCAAGATATCACTGCTCAAGTGTAACTGCAATCAAAGTAAACATAGTATCAGGATAAGTACACCATCTATGAAAATATATCGATGTCACAAGTAATAAAATAAACTGCGATTCATTATATGATGTCTGATTTACTATGGATTTAAAAATATTCCACTAAAACAAATTATTATGGATATATTGAAAATTCAAAAGCTTTTGAAGTTCTCAAATCCGACCAATTTTTCACAGTATAAAAACTAGTTTTACCATATTGCTAGTTTATCTCCGTGGTCATATGTTTTGTATATAATAGGATGGTTTTTTAATCAATATAAAATTTTAAACATTTTTTCGTGTCAATCGTTTCTAGCAAACCTTTCAAAATTTTTATTCCATAATGTTACTCATGCAAGGAAGTAAACTCACGGACAATCATAAAATCATTAATTGTACAAAGACTGCAGGCGAGAGGCAATTTAGTTTTTGTAACGAAAGAGCTTAAACAACAAAAGGAACGTAGATGGGTTTAGGAATCGTTTAAGATGAAGGTTACAATATGTTTCTGCTGGGAGGACAAAAATTCGGTTCTGAATACAGCGTAAGTGAGTAGTCTGTGTGTGCTGTTACTCTGCGTGAGATGTGCTCTTTCTGTAGCGTAATCAGACAGAATTCGAGATATTACGAATGTAATTTTTGTTGAATAGGTGAAATTATAAAAAATTGAATCTTTCTAATCAGCTATGACCTGGCCTTCGTAACGTGAAAATGAATAGACAGAAGACAGAATAGAAGCAACGTTAATACGACTTGAACAAAATTGGCTATTGATTATTAATTGTCTAATTGAAAAGGTTCCTACTGATAAAATGAAATTGCATTTTAACTGTTCACAGCTGTGCTTTGATTTCTGGTAGAAGATAAAAAGTTCGCGAAGCTGAATTTTACGCGGCAAAAGACTGATTTTCTCATCAAGCAGTGTGATATAAAATGTTTTAAAGGTCAAAACGATGGGTCTGCTTGTAAGTTCTGAAGTACTTTTTGGAGGGAAAATTTCTAGTATCCTTTTAGGTTAATTTGAAATGTTGAGCTTACGCCCTTTTTCATGAAAATGAAGAGGAAATTGAGAAATTTTGAAATAAAAAAAGGCAGGATTAAAGTGAATTTAGATAGTTTTTTTTTTTCACTCAACTTTATCATTTTAAGATTATCATCACTCACTTTATCATCAACTTCATCAAGTTGAGCATGGTAATATGGCCTTTCGATGCAGACAAAAATTAAGGCCTTTTTTAAAAAAAAATAAACATAAAGAAAACAAAACCTTAAAAAATGTGTGGGTACTCTTCAAATAACAAAAAATAAAAAATTAGGGATTTGAGAATTTTGGATTCACGAACTTCTCCCAAAAACTTATTTAGTCGAGTTCAAAATGATCATGCAACAAATTACCAAAGTTTCGGTTTACGGTATTTTATTACCTATCGCTAAATAGAGCAGACGGTTAACACTGTTTACTTGAAAGGAGAACTGAATTTGTTGAGTTATCTGTGGAATAACAATAGAAAAACGCGAGTGCCACAAAGGAGTCGTCCCTTCGAAGAAGAAGCTGAAACTTAAGTCACCAACGGGTGTCGTGTGCTTAAATAGTAAAGTTGACTAAAACGCAACAAGTTCTCCCTCTCTGTCACACTTCCTTCCTTTTATCTGAGCTTTCTTTGTTTGAAAGTTTCACCCGCTTATCCTATCTTATCTTGAATTAAACATTAGGTCGATCCCCTCGAGGACCGTGATAATTTTTTTTTGTAGTCTGGTCATACGCACTCGGTTACGCGATCCGGCACTGATCCGGCACTGATCCGGAGCTGATCCGGAACTAAGAGCGTGACTCGTAGCATCCATCCGTGTCGAATTCTTAGGCAATCTGAGACTCAAGTGCAAAGTTCTTGAAAGATGTCGTTTTCATCGTGTTTCAAGTGCAATAATCTGAGCACACTCCACTTAAGCAAACACTACAGTTTCCGACTAGACGCAAAACGCTCAATCCAAATAATGCTCCGTCGAACGGAATTTTTTTCACCGTCCTTGTTTTTATTTTAGGGCTGGTCGAGTTTTTTTTCGGCGAAACAGTTAGCATTGGGTTCTGTTTTTTGCAAGAAGCACACTGGAAGGACAAATCTTTGCTAAAATTACATGCTTTTCTTCCTTTTCTTTTCTTTTCTTTCTTTTTAAACAAATTTTATTTAAAAATATCGTAACTACTACTAGAACTATATGCCTTGTATCTACATGAATTAAATTAACGGAGACATTTAAGAAACAAAGTATCACTAGATAATACACATTGTTCACATAGTAAATACTAAGAAAAAAAAGTTAGTTCGATGACATGAAATATAAGTTGGTGTTCCATATAGGTCGTATTCTATTAGATTCATGTGACCGAACTCTAGGTCTTAGGAACCGTATCTCGAGTTAATCAAACCGAACCACAGTGAAAAGATCCCGTGGATAAATTACATTAAAAGATACTTATTAGACTTAGTTGAGATGCGTGTTAGAAGTCTTGGACTGCTTAAAAAATTCATTAAAAGAGAGTTGGAAGAGGGATAGGGCGCCTTTAGTACTGGGAAAGAAAGGTCAAAACGCCCTGGTAAAAATTGGCAGTAGACTCTGCGTTCCAAAATACCATAGACCTACAGCCGGCTGTAAGATTTCCAATAGCTTCTGTAGCCGGCAACACAATTTCTCATAGCCTTTTATAGCCGCTGGCGATTAAGCAACAGCCTGGCGATAAAGTGTATGCTAAACGTCACTAATTACGGATGCTAGGACTTCGTGAGTTTTTGGACTTCCGCTCTCTTTTTGGGCCGTAGTATCTTGATTTATTTTGCGATAAAAACCCCGTACTTTTGAAGGATGCCTGCCATTCTTAATATGCAGGAGCTCTTTCAATTTCGTATGATATTGTGCAATACCTCTGGTGTGAAATAGTTGCTTCAAGCGCCGTAGTACGCTGCGGCGCGGCGGGCGGGCAGCCAGCGCGAAACGCGCATTGGCGTCTACAAACCTAACAGGGATACTTTACGCATTGCGCAATGCGTGAAGTATCCCTGTTAGGTTTGTAGGCGTCAGTGCGCCGCCGCTCCGTTTTGTGTTAGGCTCTAATATTTAATCTCGTGGAGGCAGCGTTTTTCAACTCATGATTTTGAAACGTTTGCACACTCTGTATGGACTATTCTCATTTTAATTGATGAAAAAAAAAAAAAAAAAATATGTTTTAAAGGAAAATATAAAGTGTGTTCTGTAAATATAAAGGTAGTTCCGTATCAAACTTAATGATTTCCAAAGCACACGAAATTCTACACAATTTCTTATAGCCTTTTATAGCCGATGGCGAAAAAGCAACAGCCAGGCGATATAAAGTGTAAAGCCCGGCGATAGGAACTATAGCCCGGCTGTATAATTTTTTATCGCTTCGTGTAGCCCGGCCGTATGATTTTTTCCACTTTCTACAGCCAGCTATATGATTTTCTATCGCCTTATTCAGTCGGCTATAAGAACTCCTATGGTATTTTGAAACGCAGCTCCTATCGCCAATTTTTACCAAGGCGGTGGGTGAAAAACCTGATGTCAATCATAGACGGTCTCTAAGAGTTGAAACTTTTATTTCAAAGTCCCTTTAGAGTCTCGCAAAGAGAAATCAAAATCAGATTAAATTACGATTGTAGACTGTAAGCCGGTGAGCCAGTCGTTAATTTCAAATGAAATCCATGCGCTAAGCGACAAATGTCTCCCAATGACCAATTTCTGAAAATATTCAAAAATTTCGTTATAGATTTAAATGTCACCTAAAAGAATCAAAATAAAAACCTAGATGATACCCAATACCCCCATCATCATAAACAGACGGTCTCTGTCGAATTTATTGTAGGCACAATAACTGTCGTTGGAATCCTGCTGTCAACAAAATCAAATTTCGTACTAGTTCTTCCACCCAGTTATATGAAGCCTGAGTTTGAATTTGGGTCCAAGCGCATTATTTTATCGTTTACCAGTGAACGGTCTGAATTTAGCGTTTTTTTTTTTACTTCCGTCCGAGAAAAAGAAAATAAAAAGAGAAAAAATAAGAGGAAATAGAAGAAATGAGATAGGAAAAGAAAAAAAGAGACGGAGGAGGAAGAATCAGAAATAGTAAATAGGAAAATGAAGAAGAACAACAAAAGAGAAAGGAGAAGAACCGAGAGGAGAGAAGAAGGAAAGGGAGGATTGAAAAGAAAATAAAGAAGAGGAAGTAGATAATGAAGAAAAGAGGGAGGAAAAAAGGGAAAAGAGAGAAGAAAGGGAAGACGAAGATAATACTTAGAAGGAGGAGAGGAATATATGACAAAAGAAAAAGAGAGAAAAAAGAAGGAGAGAAAAAGAAGAAAAATGAGAACAACATCCAAAGAAGAGAGATAAAAATAATGAATCAAAGGAACAAGAAGAGAAAAAGAATATAAGAGGAAGAAGAGAAAGAAAATATGACAATGAAAGAAAGAGAAAGACACGTGGGAAAAAGAGAGGACGAGGATAAGAGAAAGAAAAAGAATGAGAGGGAAAGAGGAAGAAGATGAAGACTAGATGTTGACAGAATGAATACAGAAAGAAGAAGAAAAGAGAAAAAAGTAGGAAAAAATTGGAACAAGAAGACAATGATGGAAAGAAAAAAGATGTAGAGATAATAAAAAGGAAGAAGATGAAGGTAAGAGGATAATAAAGAGGAAAAAAATAAAGCAGAGTTAATTGAGAGAGAAGCGGAAAGTAAAAGAATAAGGAAGAAGAAGAGAGAGAAGAAGAGCGAAATGAGTGAACTAGCGGCATCATTGTGATATTCCTCGCTTACGCGAAAGCGGAACTGGGTACAGGTACACGAATAAGATCTGTTTACCAAACGAGGAATGATTACAGTAGCACCATGTCAGTTCGCCTTCAAATTTTATTGTAGGCAACACGAGCTCCAACGTGGTCAAATAGTGATATCGTCGTAAAATAGAAAGCTTATTCTACACACATACAGATAAGAGCTTTTTACCAAAGGAAAGGAAGTTACTTTCACGTCATGCCAGTTTGCCTTCAATATCTAGTATAGGCAACATAAGCTTACGCGGTGTCGAATAGTGTTATAATAATCCTCTTTATAATAAATGGACGGCCTCTATCGGCGAATTTGTTGTAGACGCGACAACTTTTGTTAAACTTTTGAAGATGAGAGGAGGAACAAGAAAAAGAGAGAGGAAGATGTAAAGATGACAAATTGAGAGAAATAAAATAAAAATGATGAAGAATAAGAAGAAAAGAGAAAGCAGACGAGGAAAAATGAAAGAAAAATAATAGAAAAATTAATAGAATAAGAGATTGACATGAGTCAATCGGAACAAATAAATGGGAGCCAATCGACATCGATTTGATCGAGTAATAACAGTAAAATAGCCGTTTTTTTCGATAGAAATATGTTTATTGAAACAATCGTGGTCTATTGCTACGGTAAATTCCAGTTACATCACTCAATTTATTGATGAGAGGAGATCAATCATTAAAAGCATGCAGGTTTATGTAAAAGTCACCTACCACCCTTGTAAATTTTTTCCAAATTTAAAAAGAAATTTGAAACTTTGGGGATATTCCTAGGTCTGAAGTAATAACTTTTTGGTCCCCTCGAAATTTTCTAGGGCGGCCCTTTCTAAAGGGGGCTGCGGAAATTTTTTTCAAATGGTAATCCCCCCTTTGTGACGCCGCATTCGAAAGACGAAAAAAAAACACAATAAGCACTGGCGCAAGCCGCAGGTCAAAATGTTCATTTCTCACAAAATGTCGGCCGATCAAAGTTTAAAATGACGAAAATTTCAATCTTTGTTTTTCTTGACGTATTGGGATGAAATTCGGAATCCTGAGGCTGAGGGTTTTTCGGACGGGAAGAACGATTCTGGCATTAATTTTCCAAGAAATTCAGTCCTTTTCAATACGGCGACCTAAAGCGGGAAGGAGATGTTTAGGCTGCTTATCGATGAATTTGCATAAAACTTGGTATCCCGGGGATATTCTGGAGGAAAATGAATCTTTCATTAGATTTTTGAAATTCTAAATAACACCGAAATGGCAGCAGAAAATTGGCGGGAAATCAGTGTTGGGATGTTTACAGATATAAGTTATTGAATTCGAACCAAAAATCGTCAGGGTACCGAGTTTCATACGAATACATCTGTAAACCTTAATAAGATCCCCTCCCATAAGATCCTCCATCTTTTGAATAATAATTTAGGTTTCAATTTTAGTTTTATAATAGCCGACAACACTTCGTCGTATTTCATTTCAACATCATGAAAAATTTTTCTCGAAACTTTAAATTCCTTGTAAAAAAAAAAAAAAAATAAATAAATAAATAAATAAAACAAGAAAAGTTTGGAGAACTAGCGTATTAAAACACGTAGATATGCGCTTTTTTCCTTGTTCTTATCTGCTTAGTTTTCCTCATTGAAAACTATACGGACTCCATCTTGGGTTCATGTTTGTTTCCATTCATTAATGAACCTATCAACCCGATAGATGCGTTTTTTCCATACTTACAATGTGATGTCATACGCCACTCGAGGAGTGGAGGGTTTTCTGGTCCATAAAAGATAACGCTGATGGGGAAATAAAGAGTGGGATGTTTTTAAAAGAACTGCGCAGACACTCCCACATTTCCCGTTGCTTAAGTTTTACTGCGCAATAGTTTGCAAAGAATCACGCATCTGATGCCGGATTGGTTCCGGATCAAGGCCTGACTAGGGCCGGATCAAACTTAAATGTTAGCATGATCCTTCAACTAAAGGGGCTTATCGATAGTCATTAACTGCCGTATGCAAAAAGTTTGTAATTACTTACAAAACGAGGAGACATCCTTCTAGAGAGGTACTTGAGTGTATTTTAAGCTCAAGTGCGACCGCGAGATGATTCGGTGAATTTTTAAAAACCCACAACAGCTCAACTATTAGCCACTTACACTCGACAGTTTCATCCACGTCCGTGCCTGTGATCGAGAAGGGGAAGCCGGGATCTCGCTAGATGTTTGTTTTGATGCCACTATCAACTCCAGATAAAATAGGCGTATGAAAAACCGACAGCCTAAATTCGGACAAGCAGTCAGTCTCTATCCAACTTCCCTATTTTAAGTGCTCATCAGCTCCTACACCAGCGTGATCACATTTACGCGTTTGTACTTATGAACTTTAAACAATTATAGAAGTAGCTCTTGTCTAGCTCGTGGTGCCGCGCGCAGTCAACTCCCTCCTGAACGTAGCTCTCTTTGCATCGCATCAATCAGTACGAACTTTGACTGAATTTCAGCCGAAAAGTCTTAGCTTTCATTAAGATTCAAAATAGTGGCCGCATCTCGAAGAATAAAATTAAAAAAGAAACGCATCGAAGACCCTCGCTTGGCACCAGCTGCAACGGCCGAAAAAAAGACATACATTGAGAAGAGGCGGCTCTGACCGAACGGGAAACTTTGGAAGTGGATCATGTCTTGTTGCGCGAGGAAAGGGTGCCCGCCACAAACCCGACAGCCGACCAAACGATCCATCCTCATGTGCCGTCCGACTTTCTTCACGGTTGCCTACGCGATCAACCCCTACATGAACACGGACACCCCGGTGGACCAGGCGAAGGCAGTGGCGCAGTGGCAGACACTCTACGACACCTACGAACAGCTCGGATTCGACCTCCACCTCATAGACCCGCTACCCGGGCTGCCCGACATGGTCTTCGCCGCCAACGGGGGCTTCGTCCTCGATGGCATCGCCTACGGCGCCAAGTTCCGCCACCCGGAGCGCCAGCCCGAGGGACCCGCCTACATGAACTGGTTCCGCAATTTCGGTCTTAAAGTCGTCGAGCCGGAGTTCACGAACGAAGGCATGGGTGACTTCACCCTCGTCGGCAACGTCATCCTTGCAGGGACCGGTTTCCGAGCCGACGTCCGCTCCCACGAAGAACTCAGGCGCGTCTTCAAACGGGAAGTGGTGACTTTGAAGCTGGTCAACCCTCGCTATTACCACCTGGACGTGGCGCTCACCGTTCTGGACCCGGTGCCGGTTGACCCGTCGTCGCCCTGCGTCGCTTACCTAGAGTCTGCCTTCGACGAAGCATCCTTGGCCACTCTGAGGAACCGCTTCCCAAACGCCATTATCGCCAGTGAGGAAGACGCTGCCTTGCTCGCACTCAACTCGTATAGTGATGGCTACAACGTTGTCTATCCCTCGAAAGCTACCAACTTCGCCAGGCAACTCAAGGAGCACGGATACAATCCGATCGGCGTGGACTTGTCCGAGCTTTTCTTGGGCGGTGGCTCCATCAGATGCTGTACTCTGGACCTACATCCTGTCGGAACCGGCACCTCCGTTGCTCGCGCCTCTTAATCCAGTAATTTATTCTAAGGTACTTGTTGCTACTTTCAAAGAAAATGATCAGGGGCAGTCACGAGGGGAGGCTCTTGCCTCTCAGAAATAAAGCGGTCCCCTAAAATATTTCTCACAGCATGAAGCCATTTAATATACCACGAGACTGCGAGGAATTCATAACCCCTTGCCCACCCAATCAAAAAAAGTGTATTGGAGAGACGAGGAATATACTATCTGAAAGATCAAATACTATTTTAACAAAACCAGGAAAAATCACCAAATAATATCCCAAGACAAAAAATATCCGACACCAAAATAATATCCGACAAGTATTTAGAGTCACGTGTACCTACTGAACTTACTTTTAATTTTTTCTTCCTCTTCAAAATATACTTTTCGCAGCGACACAACGCAGAGTAATGGAGGGAAAATTAGAAATTTTGATAACAATGAAGGCGTAGAATAACTTGTTTTGCAACTGAATCAAATTGTCGTCGGGAAGCTCATCATTCAACTTTTTTTTACTTTAAGCTAGTAATAAATTACAGATAGTTTTCCCTATGTCAGAGATGTTTTCTTTTTTGCAGAGGCCCTTTACACGTTCAAAAAGTTACCTATCTAATAATCCTCTTATTATCAGTGAGCTGAAATAATGTATCGATAAACAAGGTACGCATGTAAGCATTCTGATACACTATTCTTCACCAGAATTTCACGTAAAACACGATTCGCGAAATGAAAATTATTTTAGGGTTTTTAGCTTACATTGGTTAAGCGAATTATGAATTCCTCGCTCACAATAATATCAACTCGCGCACAAAATACGGTCTTGACACCTAAATCGATCGCCTTAATGCAGCATCAGGCTCCTTAATCGATCCATTTTCCTTCCCCGCATTGTGTTTTTAAACGTCTTAAAAACATACGACAGCTGAGCCGAAGAACTGAAATTGGGGTTTCCATATTTCCCCACCGCAGAGGTTATTACGGTGGCGTGCGATGTACAAGTTCACTCACGTTGACTTGTATTTTTTCATGAGCGGGAGGTTTGAATTTACGCGTCAAGAACCTCAAAAAATCATAATTAGAAATTGATTTCAGTAATTTTGGTTGCGCGAATCGTGTTCTACATAAAATTTTCGACAAGAATCATTTATCCTAATTCTTAGAGTTGTACTATGTACTTTGTCCACTGGTCCATTAAAAATTATGTTTTAACTCGTGACACATGCACTTAACGTAAGGAAGAATTACATTAGGGAGACGGTAGCCGCATTTGGCGAACACGGAGAAAAAATAAATACTGATTATCTTCGCGGCGTGTTGAAAAATCATGCGGCACGTCTAGCACAGGCAAGCCAATGACTGATTTTACATGAAGTCATAATATATTTATTGGGTTAAATTGAAAGTGAGAGAATAAAAGCTTAACGCCACAGTCACAATGAGTTTGCAGATTAATTTTTAAGTAATTGTTGCATTTTTAAAAAGTAGTTGGTGCACTGGTGCACTTTAGTTCGCGGAGACTCTTCCAGATTATTTTGAACGATTATAACCAACGAAAATGACTCCACAGTCGAGTATTTTGAGCTCTCATTTACGCGCATCATTCATTGAATAGGAGTAGTAGCGGAATGAACTCCCATATTTTTTAAGTACACCAGATTTTTAACAATTTTTTTTCTGAACCTCACAAGTTTTCTGTGAATTTTTACAGGTCTTTGCTGACATGAACGTCCTCATAGTTCGTATGTGGAAAGGCTGTCTGGAGAACTACCTTATAGGAACACTGCCTATTTATCTATTTTCTTTGTTCTTCCTCTTACTCCGTTCTTCCTACTCTACAAGGTTCCCGGGACCCAGGTTAAAGTTATAAGGTTACATTTTGTACATTCTCATATTGCTTAAGCTTATTTTATTATGTTAAAAAATTGTATTATTTTGACAATTAAACTAAGTATTATGACCCACTACCATAAAAACTTTTTTTTTTTGCAAATTTTAGTACAAAAAATTATGTTAAATGAGTGTGAAATAAAAAAAAGTTGTTGAGACTACTTGTTTATTCTTTTAAAATTGGTAAAAATTGAGAAACACTCTTTTTATTAGTAGGTGAATAAACACTTTCAAGAGACTATTTTAAGTGATAAAAGTGTTCAAGCAAACTTTTTTACAGATTATTTTTCATTTTCCCTACATGAATATATTTTAGCGTCGGTTTTTCGTCTTTAGTCTTGCAACTTATGAGCCCTATTTTCCCCAAAAACTTTCTATTCAAAGAAAAAATAATGATTGAATATATGTAAGTTGAAAGTCGGCGCCATATGACTAGCTTATTTTTTTTTTCTTTTTTGGTAATCAAACTTTTTTGTTCTTTCATGTTCAATTCGATTTTAATACAGAAAATTATAGTCAGATATGCAACATGATTATAGAGATTTCTTGATGATCGATTTATCATTTCCTGAACAAAAGCTCAACTTTTCGACGGTGAAACTACCAGACCACGTATCTCAGTTTGCGACGACATTGCAGACTACCCGTCATACTTCATTTCTTAAATGGAAAATTACTTAATGTCAATTTTTGAAAACTTACAAGGTTTTTCTTTTCTGTGAGAAGAAAATTCCGTGAAAACTTTGAGGTATGATATTGATTTGTTCTCCTTGGAAAAAAAGTAAAATGGAAGCGCAGATTTTTAAACACCGCAAACTAGATACAAGGTCTGGTAGTTTCAGCACCATTGTTATATTTTTAAGTTGATTTCTTTAAGTGTGAATGGGAGGTGATTTGGGAGTAATATAATCTGAAAACTCACAAAAAGTATACCTCCTATTCCTCTGCAAATGTCTCCCGATGGACTGTTATATCTCCGAGGAAAGAAATTGGATATTTTCTTCGCAATTTTCATATAAGCCTGATAAAATTGCGATAAGAACTACCTGCAAAAATTAGCTTCTCTTCAAGATTCATACCTTATCAGAAAGAAGGGCAATATCAGAATCTTCATGCGGCAGTTTTTCTTAACTTTATGAAACTGTATCTGTGGAACTTAAATATAACGTACTGAAGATTATTGTAATGAAAAAAATCTTTAGAGGTGAAGGTAAGTAAATAAAAGATACTATAACAATCGTTGCAATAAAAATACTATCGATAGCTGCATGTCCTCGCTGACCATAATAATGTTCAATAAAGTACGCCTCCGTGCTGAAAACATTTGATCGGCTTTAAGAAATATCACCTTAACATAGTAATTTCGAAATTGGATCTTAAATTGAAAACGATATAGTGGCTAGCTGCTGAGGTAACAGAAAATATGAGCCGAAAAGACGGTTACCCTGTTCCCAGTATTGCGTCTAGATGCAGAGGGTTACTGACACTGATAGTTGTAATGCGTCAGGAAAAAAGTTATTTTACACACGCTTCAACATTTATTTCTCATCTCCATATAAGTGTTTACCGCCACAACACTGTTCAAGTAATCGCCAGGCAGACAGACCTATTTCAGCAGTTTTAAGGTCACTTTTAAATGGTTTGTCTGGAAACTCAATGCCGCAGACTTTCTCAAATAAGGTAGTTCGTTGACCCATGCACAGACCGAATCTTGTGGTCGCAATGCCTTGGAATAAGCATGGAATCCTCATTCACCACTGGTATCAATTATATCGATCCTAATTAAAGTCTAAAAGGGAAACTCGACTCGGAGCTTCTTCAAACGATGCGAATTTCCGGTCTACTTGAGCCCATTCTTACAAACTTAATCGGATACATGAAAAAAAATTAAGATTAAAAAGGCAAAAATTCACCCCCCCCCCAATAAGATCCGCAAAATATTATTGAATTTGATTTTTTATTTACATGCAGTGGCAATGTGTCAATGGTCGATTATCGATGTTTTTCCATTTGAAGCTATGGTACAGAATCGAATATTAAGGTGTTCGTTGCAAACATCCTTGTTTATCGATTCTTTTCCAAAGGTTTAAATGGCATATCAATCAATACATCTCAAAACTTGCAACGCTACTGATTACAGGACAAATTATCACACTGGTGGAATTGAAATATTGATATAGCTTTCATGCACGCTGGCCTTTTCGATTTCCGTTAACATTTTTGCAGTCATGAATGCATACTTAAGTGCGCTCTAGCAAGAATTGTATTAAGCAAATGGGTGGTTTTTATATGAGGATTAAAAAGAAACAAGGGGTACGGAATAAGACAATAGAATAGGAAGTATGCAAAACGATAATCCGGGTATCGGAACTTGGCGGATTTGAAAACGCCTTCAAATGCGGCGTGATACCTCACGCATTCCGGAGAGTTCAAATAGTTGTATCATTGCACCTTAGCAATGTGATGGAAGATTACAATTATTTTGGTACAATTAAAATTTATTATTACTAGCCATAATTTAAATTTTAGCTAAAAACATTTATCGTGCTCAAAAAATGATATATTTTCATGGTTCTTTGGAAATTAAAGAGGTGACTTCTGTTCCAGTTTCATCCTTGATTCATGAATCAATTAATTTTTGGCTAGGAATTTTTCTCTTTCGTGGAACATCGTGCAGATAAAATGATGCCTTTCGAACCAAACTATCACGACTTAAAATGACTATTTAAGAGGGCATCGCAGAGAGAAAATTACGAGAGAAGGGCATCAAGCGAATACACCTACTCACTTGAAAATTTCTTAAAACTATTCTAATTGCTGGAATGAAAATAAAATAAACTTGCGAACAAAGGTTTCCCTCAAAAAAATGAGCATGGACGTTCTATGAGCGTTGTTTGTAACAGTTTGAAATGATAAAAACTCTCCTCAAATATTCATGAATTTGGATACAGGTATTTTTCATGGATAAAATAAATTTTATTATTGAAGTATAGGTGCTATTGCTGATGTAACCCCTTTATTGAGAAAAATGCTCTGTGATATCGAGTTTTTACACAATCGACGGTGAAAGTATCAGACCAAGTATCACGTTTGAGGGGGTCTAAAAATCTCCGCTCAACTCTCATTTAATTTTTTTGGAGGAGAACAAATCAATATAACTTCTTGAAATTTTCACAAAGTTTTTCTCGGACAGAGAAGAAAAAAACACGGAAATTTTTCAAAAACTAACGTAGAGTAGTTTTCCGCTTAAAAAAGTCCGACATGAAGTCTACAACATAGCAAACCAAGATACGTGGTCTAATACTTAGTTTCACCATCGATATAAAGTTAACTCTTAAGGTTTCAAGTGCTCTCTGAGTTTAATGATGTTCGGGAAGCGAGTAATCTTTGTGTTTCCTGGCTATGAGGTGGAGAGAAAGGTGATCGGAATAAGAGTGTCCCAAAGTCCTGCATCGCAGGAATATCAAATCGCCAAAGTACAAAATCGCCAATGTTATGGTAGACGTAAATGGCATGCTAAGCAAACCTGTTAAAGTCAGCAAGGGAGTTTTACAAGGTGACCCCTTTAGCGCCTTAGCTTTCATTCTTTTTATTAGCGACATCGAAACAGTGCTTAGGAAGCATGTACGTGGTATAAATGTAACGATAAGTACTGATATATTACTCCTTGCCTATGCAGACGACCTAGTTATTTTGGCCGAGTCCCCAATCGACGCCCAAAGAAAATTAAATTACCTAGAAAAATACTGTTTAGAAAATGACCTCATAGTAAGCGTCTCTAAAACAAAAATACTACCCTGTCACTGTGGCAGAAAACCAGGTAAACTCCCACGCTTCAAATATGGAGGCGAAGAAATTGAAGTTGTAAAACACTACGTGTACTTAGGTGTCAAATTTACAAGCAGCGGACTATTTGCAATGCAAGCTGATGACGCAATATCCCGCACAGCTATAGCCGGAAGTTCCGTGTTACAAATACTACAAAAAGCGAAAAATAACTCTTTTAAATCCGTATTAAAATTATGGGACTCGGTCACACTAGCAACTCTACTATATGCGGCAGAAATTTGGGCTCTCAGGTACTGTGATATGCTTGAGTCTGCTCAAAGCAGATTTTTCAAATCCGTTTTTCGATGGCAAAGATGCACACCCCACTATGTCATAAGACAAGAAACTGGCAAAGATAATATAGAAACAAATGTATTGAAATCTGCCCTGAACTGGTTTCACAGGGTAAAAAACATGCATGAGTCAAGGTACCCCAAAATATGCTTATCCCGACTCGAGGAACTGGATGAAAGTAGGTACAATATAATTAAATACAACTGGTTCTCTCAATTAAAAGCCATGTTACATAAAATTGACCAAGAATATCTATTTCTTAGAGAAACCACAGAGCCAGCTGCGATCAGGAAAATGGTAAATGAAGTTCAGAGAAAAATATCAGAACTTACCATGGAAAAAGACAAAGAAAAGTTAAATGAAACGAAGTTTGTCCCCCATTACAACCTAATTAACACTGAGAATATTGATGCCAACCATAATTATTTATATCGTAAAGTGAGTTTTGCGAAAAAAAGACTATTCAGCCAACTACGAGCGAGAAATGTTAACTCCCTTAACATCACTATCAATCAGATGAACCATAGAATTAACCCTAACGAAATTTGCACAATTTGTAATACTCAACAACCTGAAGATGCGCACCACTTATTCTTTGTCTGCCCCATTTACCATAACACTCGAAAATATTACTTACACAGCTACCTTAACAAAGACATAAACCTGATTCTTAGTAAAGACTCAAACGAGCAACAGCTTACAGATATTTATAATTATTTTGCGACAATTCTGAGTATAAGATCGTTCATAATAAATGAATAACTGAACCAAAAAACAAAGTTTGCCTATCATGAACGCTGCTATTTCATGCACATAATTGTAAGCCCAGCATATCCTAGAGATAAGTGTAGCATAATGAAGTAATCTCATGTTTGTAAATGATCTCCCAACCTAACCCCCTTTGTTAAATCCTCCCCAGGATAAAAAATAAAGTATTCTATCTATCTATCTAACTTCTTGAAAT